AATATAAATAAGCACCTATAATAATTAATTTAAATTATGATTCCATTATTACTTGCTACGAAACACGAATATAAATTAGCCTAACGACCTTTTCACAGGACTGTTCGCTATACTTACATGCCAAAAGAAACAATGTAGGACTTGTATGTTATAATAAAACCTTTGATTTAATATCAAATAATTACAAAATATATGTTATGTTGAGAAACGAAATAGTATGAAAATTTTGCGAATACGCTCTAGCTTGACATTGTCATTTTTTTCATTGTCTCTTATGGACCAACTCGACGAATGTCACTTTTTGTCATCGTCTTTCATGGACCGACTTGATGTATGCCACTTTTTGTTATTGTCTCTCATGGACCAATTCGATGAATGTCACTTTTGTCATTGTCTTTCGTAAACCAACTCGATAAATGTCACTTTTTGTCATTGTCTCTCATGGACCGACTCGATGAATGTCAGTTTTTGTCATTGTCTCTCATGGACCGACTCGATGAATATCACTTTTCGTCATTGTCTCTCAAGGACCGACTCGATGAATATCACTTTTCGTCATTGTCTCTCATGGACCGACTCGATGAATATCACTTTTCGTCATTGTCTCTCAAGGACCGACTCGATGAATATCACTTTTCATCATTGTCTCTCATGGACCGACTCGATGAATATCACTTTTTGTCATTGTCTCTTATGAACCGACTCGATAAATGTCACTTTTTGTCATTGTCTTTTATGGACCGACTCGATAGATATCACTTTTTGTCATTGCTCTCAGGACCAACTCGATGAATGTCACTTTTTATCATTGTCTCTCATTGACTGACTCGATAAATGTCACTTTTTGTCATTGTCTATTATGGACCGACTCGATGAATATCACTTTTCGTCATTGTCTCTCAAGGACCGACTCGATGAATATCACTTTTCATCATTGTCTCTCATGGACCGACTCGATGAATATCACTTTTTGTCATTGTCTTTTATGAACCGACTCGATAAATGTCACTTTTTGTCATTGTCTTTTATAGACCGACTCGATAGATATCACTTTTTGTCATTGCTCTCAGGACCGACTCGATGAATATCACTTTTTTTGTCATTGTCTCTAATGAACCGACTCGATAAATGTCACTTTTGGCATTTTCTCTCATGGACAGACTCGATGAATGTCACTTTTCGTCAATGCCTCTCATTGACCGACTCGATGAATGTCATTTTGTCGTTTTTTCTCATGGACCGACTCAATGAATATCACTTTTGTCATTGGCTCTCATGGAGCGATTCGAAGTTTTTCGCTTTTTGTCATTGGCTCTCATGGACCGGCTTGATAAATGTCACTTTTTATCATTGTCTTTCATGGACCGACTCGATGAACCGATACTGCAATGCTTTCAATGTCCTTTCCCTATAAGAATTGCAAATTATTCTACTGTTTTCTAATTATACTTAACACTTATTGATTTGAAATACTCATTTACCTGATACAGATAATTCTAACATTTACGATCAGGAAAAAGCAGACACAACAGGAAGTCAATACTTAAAAGTTTTCAGAAACATTGACGGTACATTGATAGGAACAACCGTATGCGTCATTTACACGACCTTAATGACCTCTAACAAGGCCTTAATTAATTTAGAAACAATTTCCTGATTGTAGAATGATTTGTGAGATGACGTGGGAGGCGTCGGGATGTTTTGATGTTTTGTGTTAACTTTAAATGCCATTGAACATCTTGCAACAAGTTCCTTTGACATCGATACATTAACATCATGCATATTACCATCACTTATTAATAATTAGTTTGATTGACTTTTATTTCATTAAAATTCGAAATTATGAAATTAATTAGTCAGAATACAATTAAAAATCAATTGAGAATTAACATTAACTACCGTCGAAAAACATGCATAATAAAATGCATTTTGGTCGTTCTTTCTTTATTTTTTCATTTCATATTACAAAATCATCTGCTAGTCAACATATTCAGAAAAAATATATTCATGAACTGTGAATTTTTTTTCCTTTGTATTTTCATGCACTAAGGGGGTCACTATAGTATGACTTTGTTGTACTTACTTTCAATTTGACCACAAATGTAACCAAATAAAAAAAATGAGCGGTGTCACGACAAAACCAACATAATGGGTTTGCGACCAGCATGGATCCAGACCAGCCTGCGCATCCGCGCAGTCTGATCAGGATCCATGCTGTTCGCTTTCGGTTTCTATACTTGTTATAGGGTTTGTAAGCGAACAGCATGGATCCTGATCAGACTGCGCGGATGCGCAGGCTGGTCTGGATCCATGCTGGTTGCAAACCCATTATGTTGGTTTTGTCGTGACGCGGCTCAAATATGTCCACTGTTATAATTTATGAATATGACACGACCTTGGCTTAATTTATGTAACAAATATTCGCTTTTCTAATTTCTTTTTTAAACAGATAATCTCTTTATGTACAAAATGTCATCATTTCAATTAACAATGGTGGTTTGTAGCTATTAATAAAACGTTGTCATTTTTATTTCATTTGTCGCTATTTTTATATAAATGAATACAATGAGAATAGTATAGCGCGTCACGACTGAAGTCATTGTGATATCAACAAAGCAAAACAAAACAGATAATGCACCGTAATTAATATACTAAATATTTTTTAATGAATTCAAAAGCACAATTTACAAATGAGTTATAACTAAAAAAGGTAAAAATGAAAAAAAAAAAAAAAAAAAAAAAAAAAAAAAAAAACGATAAAAAATAAATAAATAAAATAAAAATGGAAACATTTAATCCAGTAAATGGACTCAATCCATTCATAATACTTTTTTCATAAACTAGTAAGTCGTAAAATAATCTGAATACTTTTGACTTTTGCTTGAAAGGGCTTAACGTCACACCGACGCAGTATATGCATGAACGGGCACCTGAGTAGAACCACCGACTTTCTGTAAGTTAGTTAGATAGCTTCCTCTCATGAAAGAATTCTAAGCCCATGTCGGGATTCGAACCCAAAGCGGTGCAGTTCAAGTGGTTTGTTAAGCTGAATATATTCAACTTCCAAATTCACCCTTAATCTGCTGAATTTGATCAATGGATTTGACATAGTATTTCAATTAAAGTTTAAGGGATATTAGTACAATATTACAGCATACGAGCTACAAACAGCATAGAACCTGGTCGGACTACACGGCTGTACAGGCTCGCCTGGCTCTATACTGGTGGCAAAGGCCAAAGGCCAGTCAATTTTGGTTCCAGCAGGTGAAATGTAAACTAATATGAATATTAAGCACTTGAAAAAATATTAATAATATATTGATAATTCAAATATTCGAGTTACACTCATACATTGCACACATTCTTTATTTCAATATGAATCACAATATAAAAGCTACAAGAGATCCAGAATATGTGAAACACTGCGAAAACAATATAAATTATAAAAAAACAACAGTTCTTTGTAGTATGTTTTACAATTTTGTAATTACTTCACTAACATTTACAAATAACGAGTATGATAAAATGACGATTTTCAGTAAGTACCTTACAAACGTTCAATCTATTTTTGTCTCGATTTCAAAAATACTAGAGCAATAATGTTAACTGTTGTCAATGTAAAAGTTTCTGTGAAATCAAATTAAAACTGAATAAATCAAATTCATTTAGTGATTCTCTTTCAAAACAACTATAAATATCTACATTTTTTTAAAACGATTTCTAGAAATAGACACATATTAGAATGTAATTTCATGCATATTTCAGGTTAATATTATGAATATAATATAATTCAAATGTTGACTTATATTTCATTGTAAGCAATATAATATAAACTTCAAATATCATTTATGGCTTATACAAAAGGAAGATTGAAAATCCATTCACGTCCCGATAACGGCCCAGATAATGGAGCCATAAAGAGAGCTACTTACTATTTGTAGTTTGTTTATTTTTACCTTGTGAAGAAATAAGCATTTGAAATAAATACTTTATCCATGAAGTGACATGCCACGTTGGTTTGCAGTTATATTAGGCAGCCAGGTTTCAGGAGATATTTTTTTTATCAATGTATTGTTTGTAAGGCATAAATTGCACAAGTTTAACTAGCCAGTGCTAGGGTGCATCAAACCGAGTCTGCTACATTTTCAATTTTTTTCGTTTTGCGCGGTCTGTAGGAATTTCGTTTTTCTTTGTATGTTTTTGAATTAAATCTTTAGACTTTTCATCTTCTTCAGTAAAATTATGTAAATTAACTTTCAGTTTCGAACACAGATACAGACTCCTTATTGCGTAGTTATACATGTTCAGTTAAAGAGAATTCTATTTAAATTAGATACCTATATTTGAAAACAAACACGGAAACAAAAATGAGGTCGACATTTTTTTATTAATAAATGTTAGTTTTGGTACAGTTACATAGTAATAAGTTATACATGTTTCAAAGAAATTTTGACGTACTAAGATGAAACCACAAACTTCTACTCGTTTGCCCGCACGTGCCTGAAATAATGCGCGACGGGGGCATTTGAGGTCTTCCTGTACCAGTAAAGCTAGAATGTCACCATATGATTGTACCTTAAAAACCCAACAACCACACAAATAATAAAAAAAAGAAAGAAAAAAAAACAACCCCCCCCCCAAAAAAAAACACCCCAAATAAACAGCCCCACCCAGCCCTTAAAGCAAAACAAAAAACAAACAAACAAATATGGCTCAAAAACTGATACAATGTGCACAAAATCAGTTCGCCTTCCATTGTAGACAATGATAATGCATAGTGAAATGTATGGTACATTTTCAACATTATGAAGTATATGCAAATGGAAAGTGAAACGTATCAATTTATACCTTTTAACCACTATGTCAAAAAGGCAAGTAATATTACAGTATCATTTATATTTGTATGAATATAAAAATAATTAAAACATAACTTAGACAGTTATGGACGGCAAGATTCATTTGAGAGTGCGTGTGATTCATTTGTGTGTTTGTATTTTCAGATTGTGCAATGGGAAAACGGCAACTGGTGTTCTATATGGGATTTTTGTACCTAACTCTAGCCCGGCAGAGCAACCAGGTAAATAAAACTATATATGTAATAACTAATAGATGTAATAACTAATATAGAAACTTATAAATCATATGAAATATATGCACTGCACTTAATGGTAACGAATATTCCAGGTTGAAAAAATTAGCTTTGGAACAATCTAGCAAAGTTATTTTTTTAGTAAGAAGGAAGGATATTTTAAGTTTGTTCGCAATTCTTTGTTATACCACAAGATATCTTAAATACAGTTATACGTTTGCTATTTTCTAAAATGAAATTGTAATGTGCTTTTAACATGTATAAAGCATAAATGTTTTAGCTTAAAAAATAAATAAGAATTGCTATTATTTCTTTATACTCGTGATATATTTTAAAGCATATAACATATATTATTTTTTTTAATTTTACAAATTGATTGCACTTTTTCTGTTGAAGGCAAATGCTTAAGAAAAACAAACAAACAAAAAAAAAAAACAACAAAAAACAAAAAAAAAACAGATAGCGCAATGAAAACTGTGTAATAGAATGTACTTAAACTTTACATGCATCATAGAATATGATAACAGAATAATTCTCAACGAAAAAAGAGAATCACCGACTTCGTTTTCGGGTTGTATTTCAGAAACCATAACAATTTATCAATACACGATCCGCTTTATTAAGGTTCTTCTTCAATATTATACACATATGGACTTTTTAGCTGGTGAATATTAAGAGGATATTTAAAAAAAAAAATAACTAGGGAATAACAAATTATATTCACTGTTTTTTTCTTTAAATTTTCTTGATATATTCACCGTTTTCTTTCCTCTTAAAATAGATTTTCTGGTATTTCTGCTATCTCCTCGGTCAATATTATTTTTTCAGTACCAGTGCATATCACATCTTAACAAAGTTTACATATGAAATATGGTGCTATATCATTCAAATATATTTCATATTTTTTAAAAATAAATATAAAATATAAATATGAAAGTGGGCGGAGTCAAAACTCGTATTTACTTTACAGTAAGGGACTTCTTTCGCCATTTTGTTTGATAAATACAAAACACCTTTTTGTTGAATTTTGCTTTGAAAACTATCTTGAATGATAGAAAATGGTCTAACTAAGAAAATTAATCCGAACACCAATATCTTTGATTCAGTTATTAACGCTGTACATTAACGGGGCCATTATTCATTTTGCGGGCCGATTATCACCTTCCGACCCTACTCTGTCGTGTATTAATCTCTTAATATTGCGAAGCAAGAAGTATGGTTCGTAACCATTTATCTTTGAAAATGAAATTAAATAAAAAGTTTATTTTTTCGATTTTCGTGAAATATGGATATACATGTATATATTTTAACTCAACATGATAAAATGCCACATGCCGTCCCGACTCATGAAAGTATGTGGCATTTTATCATTTCATCATTGTGAAAATATATTCCATATTTGACTCAAACGAAAAAATATCCTCTTTATATTCCCTAGTTATTTTTTTACTTAACCAATCGGAGAAAGTCATTTTTAAGCTATGTATAGTTAACATGATAAAATGTCTTATTTGTTATAGACAATGAAATATGTACATGAATTGAATTTAGATTAATTTATTGTTAATTAATTATTCTCAAATTCCTTTAATTTACATATATACCGGTATATTGTTTCTTTTAATTTGATCCCTTAATGAATAAATATGTATTGATAGAGGTCACGTACAAAAGCAATGTGAAATCTCTTCAAATGTTTTAGGCTATTGAAGCAAACACAACTTCAAATAGCTATGAAATATATTTAGAAACATTTGAAAAATGGCTTTTAATATTCAGCCCATTATCCAATAAGAACAAAATCAACATCTTTTCATATGGTAAATTCTAAATGTTTATCCAAGGGATATCCTGATTTTTCTTTTTCTTTTTATAAATTTTTGTTTGTTTTATTTTATGTTAGTTAAATATAATAATGATGAATAATATTATTGATATTCCAATATAATACTGCTTTAAAAATCTAAACATATGTTTTCTGCAAAGTAACTTCTTAGCGGTTGTTTAAAGTTTTGTTATACACCTTTGCACGGAACTAACGTCTTGTCTTTTAAAAGTTATATAATGTATTATTTGAAGTAATGTCTTATTAAAGATTGAAACTAATATCTTATTGGAAGTAATGTCTTATTGGAAGAAATGTCTTATTGAAACTAATATCTTATTGGAAGTAATGCCTTATTGGAAGTAATGTCTTATTGAAACTAATATCTTATTGGAAGTAATGTCTTATTGGAAGGAATGTCTTAATGAAACTAATATCTTATTGGAAGTAATGTCTTATTGGAAGTAATGTCTTATTGAAACTAATATCTTATTGGAAGTAATGTCTTATTGAAAGTAATGTCTTATTGAAACTAATATCTCATTGGAAGTAATGTCTTATTGGAAGTAATGTCTTATTGAAACTAATATCTCATTGGAACTAATGTCTTATTGACAATGAAGTGGTGGTAGTACATTTGCTAGGTCAAGCATTTGACGATGCTTTCATTTTAAACCCACATTAATCAGTATGTACTCTTTACATTTTGACAACAGAGGAACTAGTTCATTATAGATAACAAACAAAAACATATTCTATATAACGAGTCTATGTCAATTTTAAATTTAATTGAAAACACACATAAAAGAACACTAATATCGAGTAAAATGTGATTAAGTTTTGCATTCGCTGTCCTTTTATAACAAAACTATTTGTTTAACGAGAATTCGTCCTTTTTGTACAACATACATTGATATAATTAATTCGAAGCCCGCTTTCATTAATAACCATTTTTTTTACAAAATCCCGGAAGTTTGCTTGAGTAATATATGTAATTAGTGAAATGTATGCAAATTCATCTTAAATCATCTATATATGACAAAGTTAAGAGTAAGCCAACACCGTGTGCTCTAGTATGTCATGATGAATAAGACTTTAAAAGTTGTAAATGGGGTACACAACTGACATTAATAGCATCTACTCATGATATATATAGCTGTTCATACTGTGAGGCATAAATTGCAAAAACTTGTGTTATTTATTGACGTTACATTGCATCTGTTTATACCACTATTTTGTGACTATAACCGACTGAAAAGTATCTATGTCACAAGAATGGAAAAACACAGATACAGAACACTCTTTAGTTCTTACCCCACTAAATATCTTAAATGGACCTTGTACATCTTTTACTGTGGACAAAACAATTCAACATTTTTAAAGAAATTCTCGAAATATATACTGACAGAAGAGAGGTTTACATTCGCTTATATAAGACATAATATTCATAAATTTCTGTACATTAGGCCATTAACACTTACCAAAATATTTAGCTCTCAGATCAACATATGCCGGTCAATTTAATCAAAAGTGATACTCTGATTCAATTATTTTTGTTTAACACACTTTACAAATTCGTTCGTGTATTTTGAACAAATAAATCTTCCAAATTCAATGAACACAATCTGAAACATGTTAGATGTTGAACATTTTCGTAATTTATCATTTCTTAAAGTGCTTAGATAATTTTCATGACCAAACATATTTTATTTTTATATAGTGATCTAGTTAGCATGCTATATACATTATACTATGTTAATGTTTGGAATTTGTAACTCAAATATGAGAACCAAACATACATTTTTTCAAGTTGTATTGTTCCTTTGAACAAGGTCAATATTCGAAATAAAAAGGTTATTTTGGATTTGGTTAAGATGAATTTTACGAAAGATTAGTCGCTTTTAAAATATACAGTAAAAAAAATATATTTATTTTAACAAATATAATAAACATTGATATACTTTGTGTTTCATCTGAGCAAAGACGTGCAATGAGAAAATATGAGGAACAAGATTAACCGAATAAACATAAGTACTTATATAGGAAGGAACCTCATTCATCAAGAAATATATTAGTTTGCATTATATCAGTTTGTTTTACTGGTATGAAATGGGTTCAACATTTATACATTCAACATACTTGCCTAGATATGAAGACTCTTAAAAAAAAATTATGTTTACATGAAGGGTGTGTGTTTCTAAACATATCTTATTTACGCTTATCAAAATAGAAATACAAAACAATAGCACAATTGTGAATCTTCTTAAAAAGTTGGAAGCTTAAACTATTTTTTGCTGTTGTTGTTTGTAATGGTCCACTGAAATAATGTTGATGACAACAAGTTCATTCATTAATCATAAAGTGTATGAATGCCTGTAATTATGAAATATAATATTTAGTAATGATATATATATTATGTTAAATATGGAAAGATTACAATTATGATTTTAAATTACCACCTTTAACAATAAAACCAACAGCGACAACTTGTTTATATACTTCTATGTTTATAACAAATGTACATTTTGTACATGATAATCCAGATTCCGGTCACTTGATTAAAGCGGCCTTCAATTTTTATTTATTTGTTGGAATAACAATTCTGCCTGTTAAGCCTTCTTCAACATAGCGTCCCGAGGGCTATTTATAACACAACAGTGACGTTTGTTTCTATAAATAGAAAATCGGGAAACGAATCGTCCATTTCACTTATTACAGTATCGAGGTATTTCCTTATTGTTTATGTATTTTAACAAAGGCAAATTTCATTTTGCACCTAATTCTTTTTATTTGACAGTATGAAAAGTTAAAGGCCGCTTTAAATATAAAAAGAAAATGAATTTAATAACTATGTGTCCATAAGTAACACAATTTTCACATCAACTTCAAAATCTAAAAATGATTGTCATTGGTCAAATGTCTCACGCAAAGCATTTCGCTATGATTATTTTTATTTATCTGTATGATTTATATTTACCTTAAAAATTAGACCAATGCTACCTACATAAATATAAACTTTAAAGATTTTAACGCTTGGCAATAAAGTACTTTACGGCGACGTATTATACTCAGTTATGCTTTCAGAAAAAGCGGAAGTCATGTTTTATTTGCATACACTATAATTAATTTATTTGTTACATTTATAGCAACAACATAAGTAAATCAAGGTTAAAACCTAGTCTTTTCGCAGTTTCTTGACATGGCCGCTGACGATGACATATCAAAACCTGCAAACGGAAAAAATTTATGACTTTTTATAAATAGTTTTGCCAATTTAAAATTCCCATTTTTTCCCAACAGCGCATACCAAATTAAATTTAAAATGGCCTAACCTTTGTATTTAGTTTTGCCAGGGCCCGGAGCGCGAATAATATATCGCAAAAAATGAAATAAAAAATTTAAGGGTTTTTTAAAAAATGGGAAACATTAATCCAAAAGCAACTTTTAAAAGGGAAGCAAAGGGTTTAAAAACTTGGGGGAGAAATTACCTTTACAGGGAAAGGGAATTTATTTTTAAATTTCCAAAAATATAAAACCCCTTTCCCTTGAAATTTTTGTAAAACCCCTACACAGCTGTAGAGATTTCGTTTTGAATGCGGGAGGTCGCAGTTTCGATTATAGACCGCATCAAAGGAAATATTCTGATTAAATAATACTAGCCGTTCTTCTTGTATAACTTTTAGAAATAATTGATATTGGCTACTGACCTTGTTTGTATACCTATAATCTATCATTTCCAAAAGAAGTCTTTAAGTCTAGTCAATATAGATCAACACAAAAGAGAACATCTACTGGAAGAGTACCTCATGCATGTGCTGAAATTGCCTGATCCAATCAACCTTCTAAACCATAGGTATCGAGAACATGTGATCATGGGGCAAAAATAAAAAAAAAATAAAGAGATTTCTATTTGATAATTTTTAGCCTGTCTCCGCTATGTGAAATTAGAAAATTTAAATGCTTAAATTTGCTTAAGCCGGTGCTAGGGTGGCGTAGAAGGTAGTTTGCACTTGTCACTTCCATCCATGAATATAATCAATCAAATTGAGTGTGCAACATTTGTCGCGTTCGTTGTTTTTTAAGATTCCGTTTTTCATATGAACTAGTCCTACTCTGAAAACATAACTTCTGATTGGTAGTTTGATGGACTTTGATATCAAGATTAAAACGAATTGAAGCAGCCAATAGCTTTCAATGCTGTGAAACCTTTCGGATAATATCAGAAATAGAGAAAAAAACACATATTAAACAAAGCATATTTCCGAGCTTATTAGTTTTTTTCTAGGTACTAGATATATTGGTCAGATTTTGCGCATTTTCTCAACGTTTCAAAATTTTGAAATTTAAAGAAAAAAATCTTGATGCAACCTAAAATACTTTGTGTAGTGGAAATGTTTGATTTTGTAAAGATTCCTAACAATACGTTTTATCACATATTTAGCCGAACTTATAAACATCCCAACATCCTTAAGTAAGATAATGTATGTATTTTTGTATGAATGCAATAAGATAACAAACTATACAGGTATTGTTTATAAAAAAAGTACATATTTCGATGTGTTGTTACCTTACACGTCATATGCAATGTTTTGTCTCCAATACCCCCGATAATACGATCAAATCTGTTATGAAATAAAAATTTGGATTTGCTTTAATACACTGATGTAAAAGAAATAATATGTAATGATGGAAAATGCAAAATTTAGTTTCAATGTGCGAAACTGAATTAAAATATTGACAGAAATAAATGCCAGCTTAAAAATCAGTTTATGTATGGAATTTTATTATGATGGAATATTATTGTTTCAGATTCGAATGGATTCCCGTACAGACAGACGCATTCATAATTTAGAGACCGAACTTAGCAAACTTCGTTTGATACACAACAGTGGAAAAGAACGACTTAGATCACTAGAAAGGGAGATTACACATTATCAAACAGTAAGATGTACATTTAAAAGGTTTTTAACCATTTTTTTTTTCAAAACCCTATTAAAACCCATAATATTTTAATTATTAAAAATATTTTAAAAAGGGTTTTTATTCCGAAAATATATTTGAATAATTACCCCATTTTGGGTTTTTGGGACTAATTTTTTAAACACACCAATTATGGAAATAGTTACTATGCATTCATGCAATTTGGAAGTGGACGATGATACAACAGAAACATACGTAACAATCTTTATAATGAGAAAGTATTATATCAAAAGGAACGTCAAAGGAACATCAAAAACAATTGTCAAGCTAAAAATGTTCTTGGGTCACATCATATGGAAACTGTCTAAGACCTATGGTGCCTTTCCCTGCATAATTTCAGACACGAACATGCATCTGATAAGAACCACTGACCTTCCGCTAATTGGATAGCTTTCTAACATGAAATGATCCAAAGTCCATTGTAGGATTAAAAATTACAGCGATGAGGCGCCAGTGGTTCCATTAGATTAATACGTACAAGAATTAAAGCATCGAAGCAAGGTAATAGTTGTACATGTAATTACATCTTAAAAACATTCCTCGATGTTATTTGTTTTGAAGGTTTGACTTCAATACACAAATTTAAAAGTCTTGTCAGTCAGTTATGTGACTTTCCAGATATTTCAGGGCTTGGATTTGTTGTGTAACACACTACACCAGCACCGATCATTGTACACACCTTTACCTGGGATAGAGCAACCTATCACGGCTATCAAACCAACTGTATCTGGGATTACCGCACATTCTGTGACAACTATATTCTCCCCACTTGGTGACCATGCTGTGGTTCAGTTGTCAGTACGGTATAGCACTTCGGAGACGCATGAAGTTATATGGGCGTACAACGTTTTAGGACACATGGTGCCCATTGAAGGTTCGTATCGGCTTAAATAGATTGAGAACCTAAATATCTAAATTGCCATATGCTTAGTAAAATTTTGCAGAGCAATCTTAAATATGTTGAGAACCTAAATATGTAAATAACCATATGTCTAGTAGTAAAAAAAATCAAAGCAAGTGCTATTTATCAAACTTATCATTTTTTTATACAACAATGTTGTCCGTGTAATTCCTGTAAGACTTTACAGTCGCTAAAAAGCACTTTTAGATTGTAATTGTGACATTTAGTGCTGCTTCGTCACGTAAATCATTTAAAATGCAACACTCCGAAGACCTTAGCCATGAGCTTAAAACATTTATATTTGTTAATGTCAGTTGTTGAAGGTCGAAAATGCCATTGCTAACATCATAATACAGTGACATGCACAGATGTTATAAAGACAGTTCAATCTCCGTTAAAATTATTTATTCCTAAATAAAGAGCATCAGTTAGGTCATATTAAATCGCTCACAAAGTGATCATAAGGAAATAATGTGTGTAGTCTTTTGAAAAAAATCTTTCGCAATCGTAGAGAAAACTTCACAATATTTGGTTTGGTTATTGTGAGTAATAGAACTATGGAGAAGAGAACAAGAGAAAGCATTTTGAATTTCATTCGAAGCTCTTTATTGTGTAAAAAAATTTTCTTTCGAATTGTGCTGGTGTCCTGATAACTGAAAAATTATTCAAATGAATATTGAGTTTAGGTCAACACCATTCCGATTTCATCGTATTCAGAGTATAGGCTTATACAAATACATACAAAAACATCTTTATGTTAATAAATAATAAAAAACATAGGTCAAAACGAGGAAGTTGTTTTAAAAAAATAATAGAACACACTTGTTAAAGTGACAAGAAAGGGCACGTCTTTGTAAAAAAAAACATTTAAAATCGATAAAAAAAAGTTTAAAACAAATGTTTTCTTCTGTGTCCCCACATGTTTTTAAAAAGTCCCGCCAAATCTTTTATTTAAACATCTTTTTTTGTAACCTATGGGTTTTAGTTATGTCTAAAGCATATTTAGATTACCTTTCTATGTCTATATTTTAATGAAGATATTTTCAATTCACATACCGTACCTACCTTTTCCAAATGACAATTTAAGGGATGGACAGCGACATATTTTCTTACCTAATAATTTACAAATCATACAACTCAATGTTCGGTACAATATGTTCGTAATATTTTTACGTTTCTTCTTATGAATAACGTTTGAAAACAAACCATTTTTTGGCAAACCGGATTTTTCAGGTCGTGCATGTAGCATTAGATTATAACGTTTATATTGCAGAGGGTGATCCGCATTCCTCGGTGAGAAATGAAATAGATGGCGAACAGCTTACAACTCATTTGTATATAGATGCAAAGGATTTAATGGAATTGGAGCTTCTGTATGTGAAGATACTTTCTGAATTTAGCGAGGTCACTATTCTCTTTAATAAGGACGCTCTAATGAAGGAAGGTCGTATGAAGTTATCTCCAGTTAGACTCTGGAATGAAGAGCCTTCACCAGAAGTACTTGTTTTGGATCCTACACAGAACGCCACTATATCAATAAATATAGACACTAATATTGACAAACTAACAACATTTGTTAACTTTATTGGTATTGACACTTCCACACAACCAAACAGTCTTTTAGATCTACAGCTTTCTGACAAAAGGTTAACAACGCAAATATTGAACACAACACGTGGTTTCAGATGGTCAGTTACACTTGACTCTTTTTCTTGTAAACTAAAAAGGGGGGGAGATTTATACGTTACGTATAAATAAGCAACTACAGTGGACCTGATTTCAGATTCAAATTGGGGAAAAAAAATGTATGTCATACCCAGACAAACCTGGTTTTGGGAAAAAAACTCCTTTCCCCCCCAAAAAAGCAAATTTCATTGCTGTCCCTGTTTCAAAAAACAAGGCCCGAAAGATTGCAAACAAAAAAGCCAAAAAGGCCCCAAAATTTGGGGCTAAGCTTTTTTTGGGAAAAAACCCGCACCGGGAAACCAAAAATTATCAAATTTTTTCTATTGGAGGCAGAAGGGAAAATAATAAAGGGCCCAGTGTTCAACATTGGGCCCTTTAAAGATTTTGCAACAAGTTGTCGTCCTTGGGGAAAAAATAAAGACTCAGACGGGAAGGGCAAATATCTACTGGCGAAGCCAGATCGGGTATGAATGTTGTATCGGAACCGGTGTACGTTAGTGTCACGTGATAGTGGTCATATGAGAAAATTTCTTAAGTTATTTTTCTTGTTATATTATTCCTTCACGAGCTGATTGATTTCAGCGATCTAGTTGGCTCTCCGTGTAGCTAAGATGTAGAAAGTCTTTACTATTTTAGAAAATTAGATTTATGTAAGTAGAAAGTCTTATCGAAATAAGTTATATAGAATTATTACAACCTTTTAGATTTGATAAAATCTTTCAATTCAATGAGAAACGCGATATATAATTTGTTAAAGAGTTTCTATACTTTGTTCAAATGTCTGTCGCCATAAATAAGATCATAAATTGTTATAATGTATTTCTTCTTCTCGTATGCAGAAGGCAACAAATTGTTTTCAAACACAATTATTCCAATATTTATGTTATACTCTTTAGATGATTTTCATGTGACAAATACATATTTTGAAAAAAAAATCACATCTGTCTCATATACGAAAGTGCACAAAGTATAGCTAATAATTTATTGAAGTCAAGGTTAGAATGTGAGAAGACATCTTTATTACCGGAGATGCTACTTTGATTGGTTCTTGTTAATATCAATTCTGTTATAGGCTTATTGTTCACATGTCATTTGTTTTACTAATTTGGAAATTTTGTAAAAGTAATAAAAATAATGGTACTCATCAAAAATCATAAGTTTCCTAATGCCATTATTGAAATAAAAACAACTTCTAATTGCTTTGAGTGATTTGAAAAAAAATATATATTTCAATGAAATATTTCAAAAGAGAAAAAAAGTTTATCAGTAGGCTTTAGAATGTATCAAAAATATATATTTTTTTACATTATGTCAAATTGTTTTGTTGTTACCGATATATTTTCGTTTCATTTTTGATTTTTAATGTTAATAATTTGTGTCCGTGTTTTTGTGGACTTTAAAGGGTAGTCTGATCAGGATCTATGCTGTTCGCTATCATTTTCTCTACTACTTGTTATAGGTTTTATAAGCGAACAGCATGGATCCTAAACAGTCTGCGCCGATGCGCAGGCTGGTCTGGATCCGTGCTGGTCGCAAACGCATTATGTTGGTTTTGTCATGGCGCGGCTCAATTATTATGTTTGTATGTGTTTGTATATCGGTCATTCCTCTATTACACAGCGTCGCTAAACATTGTTGTAAAATATCATGTATTTTTTCATTTCTGTGACGTCACACAATCAGTTATTTATAAGACAGATGACTATTTTACTATTTTGTTTTAAGAAAAATATTTCTTTTCACTATTTCTTTATTATAAGACAAAATTTTCTACTTCGTTATTGCACATTACCTTCACAGTATTAGAATGTTGTATTATAAAGAATTACTTCAAATTGTATATTTTGTCATAACCTGATTTTAACATACTATAAAAACTCTTTTTAAAGGTTGTATATAAGACTGTACATGTTGTATGTTTAAAAGTTCTTGAGTATTTTTATATACGTGCAACTTACACAAGCTTTGTTGATTTGTCATACGGCACTTGTAACTTTAATGATTTTTTATTGACTTGTACATTATAACTTATTCAGATTCGTGGCTAACCAAAGTATGAACGGTTGTAACTCGATAAAGCACACACTCTATATACCCTGTCAAAAATTCTTTGTAACACATTTGTACAACGGCACACCACATGCTTTCTTTTTCTAAAATAACAATAATGTATAAATCTTCGTATGTAATAATTAAATCGTCACGTTCTCAATCGGCGTTATAAACGTTATTATTATCATAAATGAAAGGCAAAATCTGTTGCTAAAAGTGGCGTGACCGTTATCTATAATTCTATTAAATGACATCATCATAGTTTATCAAACTCCATTACTCATGACTTATATTTCTAATAATCGATAATCTTATAATGATAGTTTGACTGATAAAAAATGGCTGCACATGTTATATAAATTCATTTTCATTGTTTTGTATTCAGCCTGTTGGATTGAAACCGGATTACATTGTACTTGTTAATAATAATTCTATTTTTTTAATGACAATTTTATCATTTTATCACCTAAGTTCATGAATGATTGATAAAGTATAAAACAGTTATATATCTAATGATTTCAGATGTATAAAATTTTACATGCATGTGAATTTAATGAAGAACAAGCAAATGTATTAAGCAAATGAAAATGGTTAACACATACAAATTTCTTGTATTCCAAGTGACAGAAAATCTTGACAGGCGAATAGTCCTGATTTAAGAAAAAAATATTGTAAATGACACTTATTCCTGTCCCAGTCTCTAATCAATAATTAATCCCTTGTTCCTTTGTTGTCAACATAAATGAAAATCCGTTCGGTTAGCTCGATAGGTAGAGCGTTGGACTGTGAAACGGGCGACCCGGGTTCTATTCCCGGACGGTGCAGTTCACTTTCGTTGTGATTGATCCACGGTCATTCGCACTGTATCACTGCTCCAATTATCAGTTCTTTGCGAAAGTGAGGGCAACTACTACTGGTAAACGGCTTGACAGCTTACCCAGGAAAGATGCGGTGGCTGAAATTTGTCTGGTAAATTCAATGTGGCTCCCTGTCGTGATCCGGAGAGTAAACTTCCGACACTACCACCAGCCAATCATGAATTAATCATATAATCATGTAGTTATGCAAATAATTATTTTTGGTATGAGTGGGTATAAGAGAGAGAGAGAGAGAGAGTGAATAACTTATGTTTGCCAGTTTATGTATTTATGTTATCATTTTGTTTTAGAAAAAAATATTGGTATTAATATGGTTTTAGAATGCTATATATTTCGATTGTTTTTATATTGTGTAAAAACAACGGTTTTATGGTTTAAGTTAAATTATTTATGTACATGTATCTGTATATTTTTCAATCATCTTTTGTTTGGCCTGAATTTTAAAGAATGGCAGAGTTGTATATTACACGGGTTTATGCTTACCTCATTTTTACAGGTTGATGAGCCAAGTCAAACAAATATGGCCAACATATTTTAAGTACATATTACTTTTTTTTATCAATAAACAGAAACCACTTATAACAACCATTAAAAATCTGAAAAGGACATTTTCCCCAAGAGCAATTAAACACATAGTCATATGTGGTATTATTGTTTGTTTCGAAGGTTGAATAATGAATATTCAACCTTATTTAAAAGAAAGCAATACTAGTAACTCCAATCCTCTCCCTAAACCCACCAAAACAAAGTTAAGAACATATTTGTTTGGCTCGGCTCTGCCAAACCATACCATTAAATGATTCTTGTTGATTCTTGTTAAAAAGACAATGTTGGTTGACATTGAGTTTGTCCTGTTTTCAAAGTTATAATATTAAATGTACACATGGAAAAGTCTTAACTTAAAAGCATATTCATTATATCGATAATGACTCGCTTGAAGAATGAAGACGTTAAAATGACACAAAGCACAAGAATAAAAGCTCCAGGTATTAACTGAACAAACTGTTGATTTTTTATTTATTTTTGTTTTAGTTTGTAACTCATTATTAACAAAATAGCACTGAGTTTTTTTTATTTGTTAGGTATTGTTGACAATAAAGATAAACATAAATCTGTTGTGTTTTATATGTTATAAAACATCATTTTGTGCCAATGGCGTTTGCTGAATACGTTTGGACAGGAAAGAGATACCTTATGTGACATTTCCATTCAACATGTCCGGAAAGTATGCAGAACCTTGTGGAAACCATTTGATGTCACAGAATAAATCGGATGTAGTACACATCTCGAAAAATCGACTTCCATACATATTTAATATCATTCAGTGAATAACTGAATTCAAAATGTATAGGCCAACTTTTGACAGATAATATTTACGGGCATGAAGGGTGACATATCCGAGGTCAAAACTCTCAGTGCTAAAAGGGTGGATGTACCCTCATCAAGCATAGGACATACACACACACGCGCACGAACATGCACGCACACACGCACGCACCCACTTTATTGGAACATTTGTTTAGGAAGCCGCTTTGTTAGCACCATATCTGGTGTTAAAACGAAGTATTGCTAAATATGTAACACAGTCATCATTTACATTCCAACGCCATTGTTACTTTAGGCAATACAATATCAGTATTTATAAAATAAAATGTATACTTGAAAAAAAAAATCATTGCTTTCTCCCCTTTTCAAATTTGAGAGGCATATTTACGGAAGCGTCCTGGTGCCAATTTAACATGTTCTATAAAAAAGATAACTCCTACGTAGGAGATAAAAAAGCCTAATTAGGAGTTTATAACTCCTACGTAGGACTTTATAAGTCCTACATAAGAGATAAAAAAAACTAATTAGGAGTTTAAAACTCCTACGTAGCACTTTTAAACATCTACGTAGGACTTTTTTTAATCCTACTTAGGACTTAGTAACTCCTACGTAGGATTTTATAACTCCTACGTAGGACTTTTTACCTCCTACGTAGGACTTTGTAAGTCCTACGTAGGACTTTATAACTCCTACGTAGGACTTTGTAAGTCCTAAGTAGGACTTTGTAACTCCTACGTAGGAGATAAAAAGCCTAATTAGGAGTTTATAACTCCTACGTAGGACTTTATTACTCCTAGGTAGGACTTTGTAAGTCCTACGTAGGACTTTGTAACTCCTACGTAGGAGATAAAAAGCCTAATTAGGAGTTTATAAACTCCTACGTAGGACTTTAAAACTCCTGATTAGATTTTTATAACGTAGGACTTATAAAGATCTTCGTAAGAGTTATAAACTCCTAATTGGGCTTTTTTAACTCCTACGTAGGAGTTATAAAGTCCTACGTAGGAGTTTGTAAGTCCTACGTAGGACAAATAAAGTCCTACGTAGGACTTACAAAGTCCTACGTAGGAGTTATTAACTCCTAATTAGGCTTTTTTATCACCTACGTAGGAGTTACAAAGTCCTACGTAGGAGTTATCTTTTTTATAGAACATGTTAAATTGGCGCCAGGATGCTTTCGTACATATTAGTGATTTTGTAGCACAACCAACAATGTAAAATAGGTGCGACTGAACACAAAACACATCTTAAAGTATAGTCTCCAAAGTATGACATGTCCTTTAACTTCTTGACTTTGACCTAAGGCAGCTCTGATACAATTATTTTCACTATTAACCAAAATTGCACCCGAATTATAAATGCAATTTCATATATAAAAACAGCACATAACATTCTTAGCATACATTCGTTTTAAATACTTTATTTCACAACTCAAAGAATTGTACGTATAATATAAAATCAATAGCACTACAACACAAATTTATTTCATATATTTGTTTCTATTCTATTTCGAATATTTTTATAAAGCACATATTTTGAGAATTTTTTTTCAATTTCTAACACATACAAAATGCAAATGTGGTAACAGAAACAATATCTTAGTTATTTCAGAACATTACATATAGGAGAGGTGCCCAACTTATTTTTCAAGGAAAGGAAAACTTCTTTTCAACAAAAAACATCAACCAGTTCTTAGCATTGATTGTAGTAAATGTTCAATAGGCCACCGATTGCAGTTATACACCATCCTACAACGCTTTGTCAATAGTAAGTGTTTCCTGGTCAAGTTTGCACCACTCGTCCTTTAGTGCCTTTTTGAGAGGGACAAGCGTTTTTATTTGCCGCTGCAGCAGACGACGTTTAAGCACACCCTAGAAACCAAAGTCCAATTATGTACTCTTCAGGGGTTACAACAGTAATTTGACAGTCTTTGAGAAAAGATAACGTTTTAAGACGTGTGGCTATACGCACTGTCCTGGTGGAATGTTATGGCCTTTGTCCTGCATCCACCCCTCTCGGGAAAGTCTTCTGCCTTGCGCCCTGTAATGTTTTTGTTTGGGGTCCTCCTGGGCTCCTTGCCGCTGAATCTTGTTGTTGGGTCGTGTGGGGTTGCGTTCATTTAACACCGCCTTTCCTTGTTGATCTTGTTCATCATATATTATATTGGGAAACACGCTTTAGCATTTTGTTGATAAAGTACTTAGAGGTCATTTTTTTTCTTTTATCTATTATTCGAATCTCCGTTTTCCCTCAAGAGGAAACACAATCTCATGTCATGAAACCGCTGGCAAAAGCATCTTGTTTGACAAACTTCAGTGTTTCACCAAGATCTTCACCCTTTCTGATATAAAATACCTTCTTTTCGCCCATATCAATCATAGCCTCATCTGAAGTGACAAAGGTTTTCTATTGGATGCATTTCAGTTTAAGATAAAATTTCCAAGATCTGGTGCTGACCTTCTTAATTTGTGCTAAGTTAAGTTGCACTTTTGCAACACTTTGCACTTTTGTTTCCGTAATTTTCGTTTCAGAATTTTATTGATTATGTTTTATTTATAGTGTGTGTGTCCTTGTACACATCCAATTTTAAAATCATTTCTCTTTGAGTTGGAGAGTTCACTTTGGCGATCAAACGGCCAACCTTCCTTATGACGTCAGGTTGTACCGCCATAGGTCATTTTGTTTATTTCCCATACTGAAAAGTGGCACTGCATTATAACCCCGTTTTGTAGCGAATATTCCTTATTGAGCCCAAAGAATGTAATAACCCAAATATTTTGAGTTCCTTTTGAAAATTTCTGTTGCTGAGATTAATCTTCAAAAGTCCTAAATTTATACCCTCCAACTTGTCACTAATTTTATTATGTACCATCTTAACAACCAAGCTAAACTACATTTATGCAAATGGTTACTACACAAAAGCCATAATAAACTTATACATGTGTTTTACAGAACGCATATTTCTTTTGTTCAAAAATAAGTTAGGCACCTCTCGTTCATCCAAAGTTATTTACGAGTAAACATTATTTCAATAATGATATTTTTAATATCATGACCATTTGCTAGAACGGACGGATTAAAAAAAACTCTATGACATAGTATGCATCGATAAGAGGTCTATCTTTTTTTAAGTTGTAAATTATTTTCTTTTTTTTTGCACGAGTTAACAAGGTCACCATTCCAAATATTGAGAGGATATTTCATTGATTTGAATTATCCTTAACAGCGGTGACATTTTGACAATTCTTTCAAACGAAAATCTTGCTTATCTGTTACTCGAGTGAGTTTAAAAATAAGACCTAACTTAAGCACCTTTAACGCTTATTTATAAAGGTGATAAACATAAAAAATGATTTGCTTTTATATACATAATAATAACGAAATAAATGGGAAATAGATATTATTTTTTATAACGAGATAAATGTCCTTTCAATATATAAATATACATGTACAAGATAAAGCACATAAACATTATTATATATTTCAAAATAGAAAAACGTAGATTTATATATGTTGCCAAGAATTTATATGTTTAAAAGTTTATATAAAAACAACAACAATAATACCAAATAAAACAAGAGGGCCATGATGGCCCTGAGGTCGCTCACCTGTATATAGGCCCCCCAACCAACACCCCCCCCAACGTTGCAGGGCCAATTTAACCCAGGGGCTTTTATTTGAACAAACTTGGTAGACACCCATAAGAAAATGTTTCATGCTAAACATCTAAGCTCTAGCTCATTGGGCTTTTTAAAAGAAGACTTTTTTTAAAGTTTTTACTATACACATATAGTTAAAAACAATGACACTCCTGGGGCTGGGCCAGTTTTGACCCCAGGGCTTTTATTTGAACAAACTTTGTAGACACTTACTAGAAGATGTTTCATGCTTAATATCTAAACTCTAGCTATTTGGGTTTTTTCAAAGAAAATTTTAAGTTTTTGCTATACACATATAAAGAAAATCAATGACCCCCGGGGCGGGGCCAATTTTGACCCCAGGTCTTTTATTTGAACAAACTTTGTAGACACTCACTAAAAGATGTTTCATGCTTAATATCTTAACTCTAGCTATTTGGGTTTTTTCAAAGAAGATTTTTTAAGTATTTGCTATACACATATAAGGAAAATCAATGACCCCCGGGGCGGTGCCAATTTTGACCCCAGGGCTTTTATTTGAACAACTTGGTAGACACCTATTAGAACATGTTTGATGCTCAATATCTTAGCCATAGCTCTATGAGTTCTTTAAAAGAAGATTTTTAAGTTTTTACTATATGCAAATAGGGAAAATCAATGACCCCCCGGGGCGGGGCCAATTTTGACCCCAGGGCTTTTATTTGAACAAACTTGGTAGACACTTATTAGAACATGTTTCATGCTAAATATCTTAGCTCTAACTCTTTTGGTTCTTTAACAGAAGATTTTTTAAGTTTTTACTATATGCATATAGGGAAAATCAATGACCCCCTGGGGCGGGGCCAATTTTGACCCCAGGGCTTTTATTTGAACAAACTTGGTAGACACCCATTAGAAAATGTTTGATGCTCAATATCTTAGCCATACTCTTTGAGTTCTTTAAAAGAAATTTTTTTAAGTTTTTACTATATGCATATAGGGAAAATCAATGACCCCCCCGGCCGGGGCCAATTTTGACCCCAGGGCTTTTATTTGAACAAACTTGGTAGACACCCATTAGAACATGTTTCATGCTAAATATCTTAGCTCTAGCTCTTTGGGTTCTTTAAAAGAAGATTTTTTTTAAGTTTTTACTATATGCATATAGGGAAAATTAATGACCCCCGGGGCGGGGCCAATTTTGACCCCAGGGCTTTTATTTGAAAAAACTTGGTAGACACCTATTAGAACATGTTTGATGCTCAATATCTTAGCCATAGCTCTTTGAGTTCTTTAAAAGAAGATTTTTTAAGTTTTTACTATATGCATATAGGGAAAATCAATGACCCCCCGGGGCGGGGCCAATTTTGACCCCAGTGCTTTTATTTGAACAAACTTGGTAGACACCCATTAGAACATGTTTCATGCTAAATATCTTAGCTCCAGCTCTTTGGGTTCTTTCAAAGAAATTTTTTTAAGTTTTTACTATATGCATATAGGGAAATTCAATGACCCCCCGGGCGGGGCCAATTTTGACCCCAGAGCTTTTATTTGAACAAACTTGGTAATAACTCACTAGAAGACGTTTCATGCCAAATATCTAAGCTCTATCTCTTATGTTTTTTTTAAAAGAAGATATTTAAAGTTTTTTCTTTCGGTTGCCATGGCAACCAGAGTTCTGCATGGAATTAAATTCTTTGAACAATTTTTAAAGGTGACCACCAAAGGAACATTCCTGTGAAGTTTGGATGACATTGGCTCAGTGGTTTATGAGGAGATGTCATTTAAAGTAAAAGTTTACGGACGGACGACGGACGGACGGACGGACGGACGACGGACGGACGCCGGACGAAAAGCGATCACAAAAGCTCACCCTGTCACTTTGTGACAGGTGAGCTAAAAATATAAATCACGAAATATAAAATTGACATACAATGCAATACACTATCAATGAAATAAAGAGAAACGTTCTAAATATACAATTTACGAAAGAAGCTTCAATACAAACTTAACTAGAAACCTGCATGAAATACAAATAGTACACTAAAGAAGAGAAAAAGAGATCAATTTAATTTCTTCTACATCTTGGACTTAAATATTTCAACAACAAAAAACAAATCTAACAACGTTAAAACAACATTAAAAGAATTAACGGGAAAATTATACATGAAAATAAATGTTTTAGAAATAGTAATATATTGTTCGTCCACGACAAGATTGCATCGTAAATATAAAATAAAAGAAACTAAAAAGACACGTATAAAACCAAATTCCATGATATGTAGCTAAGTATTTGTTAGTGTTCACCTGTGTTGTTCTACAGAAATTAGAAACTTCGACGGGAGCGATAGCGGCAGGAGAACGTTTCTAATTTCTGTAGTACAGCTACGGATGAATACTAGTTTAAACATATTTTATTGCATTAAATACATGTTTACAAACATATCATACAAATAATGATTATATATCAAAATGCAAATGGGTGGGGCAACAAGCTCTTGCAACATATTAGATTAAGCCCTTCCCTGAAAATAATATTACAGAAGAAAATACTTTAAGGCAACAATGATTACTTTTAACATGCATATAAACTTTAAAATATGTATGAATATGATGAATACTAACACACTTAATGTCAAGTATTTATTTGGCTTCATTAATACTCACTTTATTACGTCACTACCTGTCTATATTTACGAACGCAGTTATATAAAGCACTATGATACAGTATCGACTTTTGTTCTTCTATGAATATTAACAAACAGAATTTTTAAGAAATACAGTGTTAGAAGTGGATGACAAATAAAGCTGGACACTAATTAACTATATCTCTCTCTTCATGTGTTATGATATTACTAACATTTTGTGTAGATCAATGATCTAATCCATCTTCTATATTCTATACAGTCACAACTATAGTAAATAGATGTCAGATAATACTTTATACCACGTGACAATTCTTATCAAAGGGATACAAATATTGCTGTCAGGCAATTAAAAAAGATGGACCGAAATAAAATGTCTGGCAAAAATTGAAATTACTTTAAAAGAATATAACTGTTTGAGAACATACATACCGTTTTTCATAATATAATCTCATTATATATCTCACTTTTCCATTGATTAACTCATGACTAAAATGATTTGGGTTCAAAATAATTCTCAGCAGGTTACATATTGATCTTACTCTATTTTAAAATATATTCATTTTATTCGTAATTATCGTTTCTGTATTTTTTTTGAATGGCAAACATAAAAAGCTATTGGCAATTTACATATTCGCTTTCTTTTGAGTCAATGTAAAAATAAACACTTAGAAGTTTAAGGAATACTAGCTATATTAGTTACTATAGAATCGACCAGGATAACTTTTTCTTCTAGTTGATCACTGTGAAAAGAAGTCTTACTAAAAAGTATCTTTGTTACAATAGATCTTAAATGAAGTTTATTGAACTGGATGATAACTAGGTACCAAAATTACTACAACAGAGAACTTGTACAAGCTCCGTCACGAAAACCACGCCCAGGAAACACCCTCCAAATGCGGCAAACAACAGTCCGAATGCTGTGCCAAGTTCCACAGTAGGTCCAAATTCACCAAGAACCCCAACAAATATGAACACGCCAATGAAAATAAGAACGACTGTAAATAGAAATGTAAGTGTTAAGCAAACTATAAATTAAATCTATAAATACAATTTGAACACTGTGAATATGATAATAAATAAATGTGGAAAGTTGGTGACATGATCATTTCAACAATTCAAGTATTTGTGCATGACATTGTACGTGAATATCCAATTTCCTTGCCAACAGATAATAATCTGATCAGTTCTAGGGAGTCACTAAGTACAAAAAAAAAACAACATTCCTCTGCAATTGCATGGAAAGTGCAAAACGGTTGCAAAGTACAAAATAGTCTGCAGTAAGTATTCCTTAACAGAGCGCAGGAATACGAACGCCTAACGTCATTGCCTTATTGCAAAAAGCGACAAGAATATAGCACGGAACGCGTCTGGAAAAATTATTACCAGGAGATCACAGCTAACATAATTCACACCAAAGGACTAACCGATTAACTGCATTCCTGCGTGATTACATTGGCTTTCATTGATTTTGATTCTGTCGGTTTTTACTTTAATGGATTATAAGATTATATGTTCATACTACAAGGTGTAAGAATGAGGATATATAATGTAAATACTAAGTGCCCTTATCAAAGGTGCAACACAATCACTCGTTCAAAACTACAATTTTCATTGTAGCTACATAGTAGCTTGGATAACGTCTCGGTCATCTGTATGACTGTCCTACAGCGGCAAAACTTGTCCGGTCTCATCCTCAAGTTGCAATTTCACCCGAAATTTACACGGATGGTCAGTACCAAGTATTTTGTGCATATCATTGACAATACCCAATTTTATGATTTTTGTCAGAGTTATGGCCCTTTAATGATTTTTAATTTACAAATTTATCCAGAATATTTCTTTTCTACATTTTATGAAATTTGAATGATGATCGATGATTGATGGGTACCTCGAGTACTTGCGCATATTTAAACTTTTTTTCCGGTTGAATGAATATTGGCTGACTTATGGGATATAATTAAAAAGGCGCTTTTTTGCCTATTATTGATGAGTAATTCGTATATTCTCATCATTACAGAAAACATTCAAACATCGATACAGTTGATTTACATATCCATCACCTCTAAATACAATTGCTAAATTGGCCATCATTGGCTCTTATAATATATAAAACATTACTTTTCTCCACATGCATTCTGAATTTCTGGAAGCAATATTAATTTAGGATCAAAACATAAAAACATGTTTTTCTTTATCTTCTACTGAATAATTGTGTTAAATATATATTTAATTAATTATACATGCAAAGTATACCCACTGGCTAGAATTGTCAAAAGTATCAGAAAGATCCACATCCATTTGCTAGGACCATTACTTGTGCCCTTTACAACCTTTTTTCTAAGGTCATACCATGCATAGAGCAATGCGAACGATATCAGTAAAGCCATTGTGTACAGTGCTTGAATCTGAACAAACTTGGAAAAGCCAAAAACTGAAACAAAATATCAAATATCATAGAATATTAATTTGTGCTAAGATTCATAAGAAAAATAAAACTAATAAATCTAGTAATTTAAACGTTAAATATATAAATTTAAATATTTTTACTAGTAACTAGGTTACTGTCAGGTTTAATTATATACTCATCAATGAAATATTGAGAAATATTGATGAAATAAAATGCGTATTTTATTTTCCGTATTTTCACTGTAAAACTGTATTTTCATTGCAGTGAAACACATTTTCGTATTTTCACTGGTGTCTTGCCGGACAACTTTCTTCTAAATTCAGGAAATAAACAAAACTAAAGGGGAAATCTTTCAAATTGTACTGTCAGTAATGTAGTAAAAGGAAAAATGTATATTCAAGTTTTTTTCTATTAATACAGGATTCATTTTCATCTTATAATGTGAAAATTATCATATTCCATGAAACATTTATTTTTTATAGAACTCAATGAAAATAAATCCTGTGTTTAAAGAAAAAACTTGAATATCCTCTATATTCCTGATCCTCTATATTTCCTTCTGAAATAAACCAAATTATATAATATTTCCACTCACTGAGTGCTACTCCATGAAACATGAATTTGTCACCACCCTCATTTTTAAGCTCAGCTATTTCTAGCTTTTCGTAACTGGTAACTTCGTCTGCGTAGATGCCACTTATAGATCTGTACGTCATAGTCTCGCATTCAATGTTGGTTCCATCATGCGGGTAACACTGGATGACATACCAAAGTGCATAATCCTGGTATACATCTTGTATGTGTATAGTCCTCCCAGACCAACTGCTTGGTATATATTTTAATTTATGCTCAGCTGTTACTGTCAACCAACCAGGGGCGACAAATCCAACTAGCAACAGAAGGACACCTATAAAGTTACACCAAAATAATATATTAACTTTTTGAACTTCACCCTGTTGAACCGTCGGGGTGAACTTCACAACATTTTCTGTCGGTGATTCTTGATTTTCGTTAGTTACCATCTCGTGAGTTTCTTCGGAATTTTGCTCTGCTGGTAAAGGTGGATACACGAATTTATCGGCAGTCCCTTTGTCCTCCATTTTTCAATTCTGAAAACGAAGAATTAATCCATTTAACAAAAAAAAAAAAAAAAAAAATTAAAAAAATAGCTACTCTTTCATGTACGGTACTAGAAATAGATACAATAAATAAATAAATAAACCTAAACGATTTTCATCTTCGAGTTTAACAAGTTACTGCAATAATTAGGTTATTACATTACAAGAGTTATTGCGTGCAGTCAGTTCTGCTACATAAGCCCAAGGCATTTTTTTCACCGACTATGAACTTGTCGTATTACGGAAAGAGAACTCACAGATGTTTTACATTTTAATAGTGCCTGTACAAGTCAAGTACCAAATTCGAACTCCCCACTAGACTGGGCGTTGAGACTACTATTTAAAATGACAGCTTGTAATAATGACAACTTATTATGCATATACATGCACGCGTTTAGAGTTACATGTAGAACTCTCATTAATCATTTTTGACATAGTATTACCACCCAGTCCAGTTTGCATGTATATCGTAATGTAATATATATATATATCAATGTAATATTTTACAGTTCACATTATGAAATAAACACATGCACTTATACTAAAATCTTTGTTGTCATTCTTTTGAATTATATAAAATGTATGACTAAGTAACTTAAAATACAATATGCAACAAACTACAATTATAATAAATGCGATAAGTTTTAGATTGCTGTTAGGTTTGCATGTAATAAACCAGTTTATAATCATGTAATGATAACCCACAGTTTTATAATTTTACCCTTAAGTGAACAAACATTATGCGCCCGATTACTAGAAAATATAATACAATTAACAAAATTTGACCATTCTAACCGTACATCGCCTGTCCTCAGCCAATCAAAATGGAGAACTAAATACCACATGATAACAAAATGGACGACAAAAGACCTCAAAAGGGGCGCCTACGGGACATGCCTTCTGCCATTTTTTGTCGGGTTACCTTTAAATACTTTTTTCGTGTTCGAAGCTCGAAACGATTGTGTAGGCTCCTACGAGGTAAACAACATAAGTATAGCTTCCTTTTAAAGAAAAAACTGCTCTATTTTTCAGGAAGGATTCTATTTCACAAAAAATATAAATATTTTTCGAATACCCGGCTGAACGGCGATTGCATTTTTGAAAATGCGAATACTTGTACACGTATAGCTATATATACAATAAGTAATAAATGCTTATGGTATAATACGTTAAGAAATTATGACTAAACAGCAATCCGACAAAAATTCATACCTACTGAGGCGGTATATAGGAAATTATTTCAATTAGAATGACTAGACAGTTTAATGTTATATTCAATAATGAGTTTGCTTGAATCAGCGCCAAACGTACTTACATATTACATGTTTATGCCAGAGCGTGAGTCACTTGCTTTCTAAATAGCTCTATGATGCCCGTTTTAACTGCAAAAAATCTTACCTGTATAGCCCAGTCTTTTACATGTATTTATTTCTTATGGAAGTGAAAACAAAAACAGCAACAGCTACTAATAACCTGCACTATTTTCGCTACGAATGCAATTTAAAACAAGTAGGTCGACACTAATTATCCATTACAAATGGCGTGTACTGAGCTACGAATTGTAATCCAGTCTTGAAAGTGAGCGGATAAAACCAATACAGACTGAGCAGCGTTACTGCAGTAGATCATAAGCAGCGTATTTTCCATCGAAGAGAATTCACTGGCAATTTACTTAAAATTTAGTGTCGCACGAAATAATGAAAATGTGGTGCCCTATTAATTACATAAATTGATGTCCTGGCGCTAGCAGGAATATGTATATGATGTTGTTATATAGTATCAAAGTTTAATCATTCAAGATTAAACTCTTTCATTTTACATGAATGACACATGTCTTAATATCAGTTGTACTGCGTATCAATACGCATGCTCAGTCTGAGAGCTATATTTAGAACACTATATAAGAAGCTGCTCGAGCCTGCTGCATCCTTTTCGTTCTGGAACTCCACGAGAAAGGTAGCTGCTGATCATATTTTAAAGTTTTTGTTAAAGTCTTAATCTAGGTTTTTAATTTTGGATGTAAATTGTAAAATTCTAATTAAATTTTTTAAACCTTAACTATTGAAGTGCTCTTTATATTTAAATCTTTATAAATCTTGCTTTTGATTGAATTTTAAATAAACGAAAATAGAAAATAACCACGTGGCCCTATTTATCCGAAAGGGACAATGCAGTAACAATTATTCCAAATTATAAATAGTTAAAAAATAAGAAACGTTAACCATTGAATTTCTCTTTATATGTATATTTTTGTAAATCTTGTTTTTGATTGAATTTTAAATAAACGTAAAAAGAAAATAACCATGTGGGTCTATGTATCCGAAATGCAGTATTGTTATATAACTATCTATCCTAATTTATCCTATTAACCAAATGCAGTTATAACTATTCCAAAATTATCAATAGTAGGTCTATAAACATTTATAAACATGGCAAGGTTTTTAGGTTGTTTATAATAAGACATTTTGTTGTTTTTCTTGATCAAAATGCCCAAACGACGTGCGGACGAAACTGAGAGACTGGCGACTGCTGTAAATGAGAAAAGACGATAGCACGGAGGACAACTGGCTCGAATCCGAATCAACGTCAAGAAGTTGTTCAAACTGATGACTTTCCCCCCAACTTCAGGTAAAGTAAACTTTCAATCTAACATTATTTTGTCTACCCAAGTTTCTCACTCTATTAAAGAGACAATACGGTGTAATAGTTATATAGAACTATACAACATCATCTTCCTAAAATTAAACCAGATTCTGCAAGAAAAAAAAAAAAAAAAAACATTTTGAAAATGGAGAGCTGATCCTATATCTTTTCATATATTCCATACTTTAATTATCGCTGTACATATTCTAAAGCATCCTATTTGCTACAATATATGGTAAACATACGACAGGCAGCAACCAGGTATATTGGTTGAGCCGCGCCTACGACTCGAGCTTTAGACTGACAAAATGATGATGTTAGCCATGAAACCAGTTCAATCGGTTGGTCTTTCGATTACCCCCCTCCCCCCAATTCTCGAAAAGTATTTTCTTGTAATAATAAGGGCTTTTGCGTCTATACAAGTTCTTTTGCACATAAGTGTATAAAATAGTAAGCAGATACGACACTCAATATGCTTTTTCGATATTTAATAGAAGGCCTAATCGTTTTCAGTCCCAGCAACTCACCCACTGTTCCTGTAACAAGGTTGTTCTCCTCGACCAGAATATTTAAGGGGCCAGGTTCAACGTCAATTAATATAAGTTGACAGGTTACAATAAAAACGATGCTTGTTTTTTTTTTAATCATTGGTTTAAGTTCAATCATACTGATCCAAGAGCACCAATCCAGCAGTTTTAAATAACAATTATATGAGGACAAACATTTGGCTTGATTGTCGGACCATACATAAGTCACGGGTGCCCAATTTGTTATTTCCATAGTAACAGTTTAAATTAATTTATCGAACCAGTCTATTAGCATGTCAAATATGCACAATTCGACGGAGCATGTATTATCATTGGTTCAACGTATAGGAAAATATGTCTGTTGCAAAACTGATAAAAACATCAGCTTTTAACTTGTGTCCTCTTAAATAAAATGGCCAGGTGACTAAAATCTGACTTACCTGGTACATTGTATTACCTGGTTTAAAAAAAAAAAAAATGTTACCTCAGGGTTCTGCCTACCCCTGTCTCATTTTGAAAAAAAATGTTTCTTTCTTAGATTGCCTTGTTTAAAAAATGATTTCTTATGACAAACGTTAGTTTTTGAATCCTGTTTAGATATTTAACGTATTCAAACACGTTTGTTTAGACCTTGGGGTATCTCGATCTGCGCAAATCTATTAAAAACTATCAATTACTCGGTGGTTGAAATAAATGCGGAGAATCAGACCATTCATGTACCCGCATAAAAGCCATAGACGAGCTTTTGCGGCTCATATCTTCAAAAATATATATCTTTGAAGGAAATTCAGTCTATAGCATGATTACTTTAATTTTATCACAAAGGCTATCCCTTCTGGCAGAGCTTTTTTGCGAAGATTTAATGATGTTATGTCTAAGCTTAAAAAATATTTTTATTTTATGCATGTAAAGGGAAATGCGCGAATGCGCCATGACCTGGCTGTTATTTCTTACTGAATCTAATGGACTCGCAATGTTACATGGTAAGAATTGGTCAGAGAATACATTTATTGAACCCTACACCGATACATCCGGTAGCAGTTATTTAGGTTATGGCTGCTACTTTTAATGTCAGTAGTGTGCCTTTAAGTGGCCAGCTCACTGGTAGGAGCTTATTTTTAAGGACATCACATATCTTTAACTCGTGCTATTTTTCTAGCACTCCAGATATAGGGCAATGAAATGAAAAACAAAAAGGTTATGTTTCCGTCTGCTAATAAAATATTATTATCAATATAACACTGCCATATCCTCATATTCTCAAACTTTTGAAGTATAATTGGCGTATTACCAGATAGCGAAATATAGCTTTCATGTCCTTGTAAAGACTATAAATAGCTACACATCTGATATAAGTTATGTACGCACGCACGCACACACACACAAAGAAAAATGTTAAGGTTAAACGTATGCTTGAAGGTCTAAGACGAACATGAGGGTCTAATGACACGTCAGCCTGTAACATAACATAAAAAAGTTAATTTCAGCTTTACAAAGTTTCTGTCGCCTTCTGTAGGAATACATGTTATTTGAAGCTGCATTTTCACTCGCGTATATTCATAGAGTTAGTGAATCACTTGACGGAACAAGAGGTCATCAAATTATTTCCTGTCAACAATATCATGGGTTCGAAACATGAAACATTTGAAAACTGACCAAAGAGGTCATGGGGCTTCTCTCAATATTTAAAATACTTTATTTCACAACTCAAAGAACTGTACGTCAGCAAACTTTGTCTGTAGCATTCTTGGGTAGTATTTTATCAAGTTTGCTCATATTAATTTGATTGGCCCCTTTTAGGGGTCTCTAGGGCTGAAATAAAAAAAAAACTTTTAAACATCTTTTTCTACAGAACTAATGGATTGATGATCACCAAACTTTGTAGCATTCTTGGGTAGTATTTTATCAAGTTTGCTCATATTGATTTGATTAGCCCCTTTTAGTGGCCACTAAAGCTAAAAATAGAAATACCTTTAAACATCTTCTATTTCTACAAATTGATGGATGATCACCAAACTTTGTCTGTAGTATTCTTAGGTACTCTTTTATCAAGTTTGCTCATATTAATTAGCTGTACGTATAATATTTAACCAATAGAACTACAACACAGTTTTTTTCATATATTTGTTTCTATTCTATTTCGAACATTTTTATAAAGTACATATCTTGAGAAAGTTTTCAATTTCAACACATACAAAAATGCAAATGTGGTTACAGAAACAATATCTAAGTCATTTCAGAACATTACATATAGGAGAGGTGCCCAACTTATTTTTCAAGAAAATGAAAACTTCTTTTCAACAACAAAAAAAGCATCAACCAGTTCTTAGCATTGATTGTAGTAAATGTTCCGTATGCGACCCATGGCAATTATACACCATCCTACAACGTTTTGTAAATAGTTAGTGTTTCCTGATAAAGTTTGCACCACTCGTCCTTTAGTGCTCTTTTGAGACAGGCAAGCGTTTTTACTTGCCGCTTCTGCAGACGACGTTTAAGCACACCCCAGAAACCAAAGTCCATCGGTCCACTCTTCAGGGTAAATAAAGTTAATTTGACAGTCTTTGCGATAAGAAAGCGTTCTTTAGATGTGTGGCTAGACGCACTGGCCTGGTGGAATATCATGGCTTTTGCCCTGCTCCCACCACTCTCAGAAAAGTCTTCTGCCTTGCGCCCTGTAATGTTTTTGTTTGGGGTCCTCCTGGTCTCCTTGCCGCTGGTTCTTGTTGTTGGGTCGTGAGGGGTTGCGTTCTTTGAACACCACCTTTCCTTGTTGATCTTGTATATCATATATTATATTGGGAAAAGGGCTTTAGCATTTTGTTGATGAAGTACTTACAGTTCACTTTGTATATTTATCGATGATTCGATTCTACGATTTCCCTCTAGACGTAATACTAGCCCATGTCATGAAGCCGCTGGCAAAAGCATCTTATTTTACAAACTTCAGTGTTTCGCCAAGATCTTCCCCCTGTCTGATATAACATACCTATTTTCGCCCTTAACTTTTGCCTCAGTAAATCATAGTCATCCGAAGAGACAAAGTTTTTACATTGGTTGCATTTCAGTTTCGGTTACAGTTTCCAAGATCGGGCGTTGCCTCTCTTAATTTGTACCGTGTAAAGTTGATACACTTTGCACTTTTGTTTTCGTAATTTGGTTTCAGAATTTTAGTGCGTGTGAGTCGCGTCCTTGGACACATCCAATTTTGAAGCCATTTCTCTATGAGTTGGTGGTCAAACTTCTTTCTGATGTGAGGTGAAGCCACCGTGGGCAGTTTGTGTGTTTTCCTTACGGAGAAGTTGCACTGCGTTATAACCCTATTTGGTAGCGATGATTTCTTATGGAACCCAAAGAAATATTATAACTTAAAGATTTAAGTTCCTTTTGAATACTTCTGTTGCTGCGATTATTCTTCGAAAGTCCTAAACCCTATACCCTCCAACTTGTCACTAACTTTATTACGTGCCATCTTTACTTATAGCTAAACTACATATACGTATGGGTTTTTAACAAAACCGATAATACACAAAAGCCACAATAAACTCGTGCATGTGTTTAACAATAAACGGATTTCTTTTGTTGAAAAATAAGTTAGGCACCTCTCGTTCATCCAAAGTTAATTACGAGTAATCATTATTTCAATATACATGTATATATATTTTTAATATCATTACCATCAGCTAGAACGGACAGATTCAAAATACTCTACAACATAGTATGCATCAGTAAGAGGCCTCATTTTTGAAGTTGTAAGTTATTTTCGTTTTTTTTCTCTCATGTGTTTACGGAATTTCGGGAAGATATTTCAATGATTTTAATTATCCTTAACAACGGTGACAATTCTTTCAAACGAAAATCTTGCTTATCTGACAGAAAGTAGGTATATATACTCTTATTCTTTATGAGTAAGTTTAAAAATGAGACCTAACTGAAATGTCCGTAACCCCGAAAAGCACCTTAAACGCTTATTTATAAAGGTGATAAACTTTTTAAATGTATTAAGAATGTATGCTTTTTATACACATAATAACAATGAAACAAACAGGAAACAGATATTAATTTTTTAGAACGAGATAAATGTCCTTTAATATATATACATGTACAAGATAAAGCACATAAACACTATATATATTTCAAAATAGCAAAACGTAGATTTGTATGTTACCCAGAATATATAAGTTTAAAAACAAATAAAAAAAATAAACAACAATAATACCAAATAAAAAATATATAAATCACTAAATATAAAATTGGCATACATTGATATATACATCCATAAATTCAAAAAGAGAAACGTTCTTAAATATACAATTTACGAAAGAAGCATCAACACAAACTTGAAACCTGCACAAAATACATGTAGAACACTAAAAAAAGAGAAAAATAGATCAATTAATTCTACAACTTGGACTAAAATATTTCAACAACAAAAACAAACCTAACAACGTCAAAAAACAACATAAAAGAATGAACGGAAAAATACACATGAAAATAAATGTTTTAGAAATAGTAGTATATTTTTAAAAATAGATGTTTTTAGAAATAGTAGTATATTTTTTTAGAAATAGTGGCATAATTTTCGTCCACGACAAGATTGCATAAAAGAAACTAAAATGACACGGTATAAGAACAAATATCATGACATGTAGCTAAGTATTTGTAAGTGTTCATCCGCAGCTGTTCTGCCAGAAATAAGAAACTTCGACGGGAGCGATAGCGAATGGAGAATGTTTCTAATTTCTGTAGAACAGCTACGGATGAAAACTAACATATTTAGTGTCAAGCTTTATTTAGCTTAATTAATATTCACTTTATTACGTCACAATCTGTCTATATTTACGAACGCGGTTCAATGAAGCACTATGAAACAATGAAGGCGACGATAAACGGAATTTGATTGTTCTTCTATGAAAATTAACACGGAGAATTTTTAAGAAACACAGCGTTCTCAGTGGATGACAAATAAAGCTGGACACTAATTATCTTTATCTCCCTCTACATGTGTTATGATATTACAAATGAGCCGCGTCACGACAAAACCAACGTAATGCGTTTGCGACCAGCATGGATCCAGACCAGCCTGCGCAGCCGCGCAATCTGATCAGGATCCATGCTGTTCGCTTACAAAGCTTTTTTCAAGTAGAGAACTGATAGCGAACAGCAAGGATCCTGATCAGACTGCGCGGATGCGCAGGCTGGTCTGGATCCATGCTGGTCGCAAACGCATAACGTTGGTTTTGTCGTGACGCGGCTCAAATGTACTAACATTTTGTGAAGATCAATGATGATATATTCTATATTCTAATATTCTATACAGTCACAACTTTAGTAAATAAATATTAGCTAAGACTTTATACCACGTGACAATTCTTATCAAAGGGATACAAATATTGTTGTCAGGCAATTAAAAAAGATGGACCAAAATAAAATGTCTGACAAAAATTGAAATTACTTCAAAAAATAACTGTTTGAAGACATACATATTTCATAATAATTATAATCTCACTATAAACTTCTAAGGCCTCACATCTTCATTAATTAACAATTTGGATTCACAATTCTTCACAGCGGGTTACTTGTTAATCTTACTCCCTGTTTTAAAATAAATTCGTTTTTATTAATAATTATCTTTTCTGTACACTTTATTGGGAATGGCAAACACAAAAAAGCTATATACAATCTACATATTAACATCCTTTTGAGTCAATGTAAAATAAACACTTAGAAGTTGATGAAATTCTATTTCAGTTACTATAGTTACAGGATAACTTTTTTTCTAGTCGATCACTGTGGAAAGAAGTCTCTATGTTACAATAGATCATCAATGAAGTTTATTGTACTGGATGATAACTAGGCACCAAAATTACTACAACAGAGAACTTGTACAAGCTCCGTCACGAAAACCACGCCCAGGAAACACCCTCCAAATACGGCAAACAACAGTCCGAATGCTGTGCCAAGTTCATATCCCAAATTACCACGAACCCCAACAAAAATGAACACGCCAATGAAAATAAGAACGACTGTAAATAGAAATGTAAGTGTTAAGCCAACTATACATTAAATTGATAAATACATATTGAATAATGTGAATATGATAATAAAAATATGGAAAGGGGGTGACTTTCTTTTCAACAATTCAAGTCTTTCTGCACGACAGTGCACGTGAATACCCAATTTCCTTACCGACAGATAATAATCATATCAGTTTTATGGAGTCTCAAAGTACAAACAAATTCCTCTGCAATTGCTTGGTAAGTGCAAAAAAGTTGCAAAGTACAAAAATTGTATTCAGTAAGCATTCCTTAACTTAGCGCTGTAATACGAACACATGACGTCGTTGTCTTTTTTGCCAAATGCGACAAAAATATAGCACGTGTCTGGAATATATATTTTCAGCACTTCTTAGCCAACAATATTCACACTAATGGACGAACCGCTGTCTCCATGTGTGATTGTACTGCCTTACTTTGATTTTGATTCTGTCATTTTTTACTTTAATGGATTATAAGATTATATGTTCATACTACAAGGTGTAAGAATGATGATATATAATGAAGATACTACATGTAAGTGCCTTTTTTAAAGGTGCAACACAACCACTCTTTCAAAACAACAATTTACATTGTATTTAGGTCAATTCTTGTTCCGCCTGCTACATTGTAGATTGGATAATGTCTCGGTCGCCTGTATGACTGTCCTACCGCTGCAAAGCTTGTCCGGTCTAATCCTCAAAAACCTCAGGTTGCAATTTCATTCGAAATTTACAAGAAAGGTCAGTACCAAGTATTTTGTGCATATTTTCGACAAAACCCAATTCAATGATTTTTGTCAGAGTTATGGCCCTTTAATGGTTTTATTTAAAAAAAAATTATCCAGAATATTTCTCTTCTACAAATTATGAAATTTGAATGATGATCGATGATTGATGGATACCTCGAGCACTTGCGCATATTTAAACGTTTTTTCCGGTCGAATGAATTTTGGCTGACTTATGGTCCTTTAATTAAAAAGGCGCTTTTTGCCTTATATTCTCATCATTATAGAAAACATTCAAACACCAATACAGTCAATTTATCTTTCTGTCACCCCTTAATACAACTGCTTAATTGGCTATCATCAGGCGACACACGATGCTCTTATCATATATTAAACATTACTTTTGTTCACATGCATTCCGAATTTCTGGAAGTAATATTAATTTAGGATCAAACAATCAAACATGTTTTTCTTTATCTGCTACCGAATGGCATATTAAAGTTTATATATTTTATTAATTTTACATGCAAAGTATACCCACTGGCTAGAATTGTCAGGAGAATCAGAAAAATCCACATCCATTTGCTAGGACCATTACTTGTGCCCCTTACAACCTTTTTCCGAAGGTCATACCATACATAGAGTAATGCAAACGATATCAGTAAAGCCATTGTGTAAAGGGTTTGAATCTGAACAAACTTGGAAAAACCAAAAACTGAAACAAAATAGCATAGAATATAAATCTTTCCGAAAGTTCGTAAGTTAAATAAATCTAATAAATCTAGTAAATCTAGTAAAGTTAAATACATAAATTTAAACATTTTGTCTAGTATCTAGGTTACTGTCAGGTTTTACTAAATACTTACAAATGAAAAAGAGATATATTGATGAAATAAACTGTGTGTTTTACTTTCTGAATTTTTACTGAAAAAATATTTTTCACTGCAGTGAACATATGTTCCGAACTTTCACTGGTGTCTTGCCGGACTACTTTCTTCTACATTTAGCCAATAAACAAAAATTGTACTGTCAGAAATGCAAAAATAGAAAAGGATGTATGTATAACAAGTAAATAATTGCTGGGAAATGCAGCAATATGATTGTCACGGCGAAAAAAAAAAAAAAAAAAAAAAAAAAAACAACAAAAAAACAGTTAAATATATTGATAAAGTATACCAAATAGCATTGTGTTGAATTGACATGTTAACTTGTTCAGAAGGTTTTTAAATATCATAATGTAACTTGTTAAAAGAGCCATGTTTATGTAGTGGAGCAGAATTATTATCATTCTTGTGTAATTTTGTAGTTATGCTCGGGACAAAATTATGTATGAAAAATATCAAAGGGCAATAACTGAAAAATAATGCACGGTAGGTTAAATGTCTTGTGTGCTGCACTCCTCCTCAATGAGATCTATCCACCTAATAAGTTTCAAGTTGATAACTCTAACCCCTTTCTGAGATAAGCTCCGGACAAATGTATATAAAATAACAAATGGAAATAACTAACAAAATGTAAAGGGTATCATTCTTGCGCACAACATTCTTCCCCAATAAGATCTATCCACCTATAAAGTTTCATGTTGACATTTCAAAGACTTTTTCAGAGATATGCTCCACTCAGGTGAAAAATTTAGTATGGAAAATAACAAAGGGCAATAACTCAAAAATTATGAAGGTAGAGTTATCACTCTTTTGCACTGCATACCTCCTGAGTAAGATCTATCAACCTATGAAAATTCATGTTGATATCTCAAATGCTTTGTAGTTATACCCTGGACAAAAATAAAGTATGAAAAATAACAAAGTGCAATAACTGAAAAAACAATGCACCGAAGGTTATCATTCTAGTGTGCTGAATTGCTTCCCAATTAGATCTATCCACCTATGAAGTTTCAAGTTGTTACCTCTAACACTTTTTTTATATAAGCTCCGGACAAAAAGTTTGAAAACTGACCAATGGCAATAACTCAAACATTATAAGGGATATCGCGCACAACATTCCTCCTCAAAAAGATCTATCCACGTATGAAGTTTCATGTTGACATTTCAAAGACTTTTTCAGAGATGTGATCCACTCAGGTGAAAACTTTAGTATGAAAAATAACAAAGAGCAATAACTAAAAATCATGAAGGGTAAAATTATCACTCTTTTACACTGCATACCTCCTGAGTGAGATCTATCCACCTATGAAGGTTCATGTAGATATCTCAAAGGCTTTTGTAGTTCTACCATGGACAAAATTAATAATAACAAAGGGCAACAACTGAAAAATAATGCACGGTTAGTTATCATTCTAGTGTGCTGCACTTCTCATCAAAAAGAGCTATCCACCTATGAAGTTTCAAGTTGTTACCTCTAACACTTTTTTAGATATTCTCCGGACAACAAGTATGAAAATAACAAATGACAATTACTCAAAAATTATAAAGGGTAGAGTTATCATTCTTTCGCACAACATTCAATCTCAAAAAGACCTATCTACCTATGAAGATTACATTGACATCTCAAAATTTTATTTTTATTTAATTTATGCTCCACTCAGGTGAAAAATTAAGTATGAAAAAAAACTAAGGGAAATAACTCAAAATTTAGGAATTGTAGAGTTATCACTCTTGTGCATAGCACACTTCCTGAGTGAGATCTATCCACCTATGAAGTTTCATGTTGTATCTCAAAGGCTTTTAGAGTGATGCTGTGGACAAAAATTGAGTTTGAAGAATAACAAAGGGCAATAATGAAAAAATACGCAGCGTAGAGTTATCATTCTTGTGCACTGCACTTTTCCTAAAATGATTTATCCACCAATAAAGTTTCAAGTTGATACCTCCACCTATGAAGTTTCAAATTGATACTTTTTGAGATATGCTCCGGACAAAAATGTATAGAGATGGACGGAAGGACAGACGGACGGATGGAGACTATACTATATCCCCACCGTCATTTCGGGCTCATATCTTGATGTTGTGGTAAAAACTGATTTAACGATCAAATTAAGTTATTTTACAAGCTGGTATGGTGAATGTTTATTGTGAAACGCATATAGAAAAACCAAGTCTCATTTTAGAGAATTGCGCAAGGAAAATGAAATTATTCAAAAATAAAAGGCCAATTAAGTTCTTAATTGCAAATATAGAAACTTAGGAATGTAATCTTCAAAGACATTTTACACGTGAAAAGATTCACCCCGAGAGAGACATAGATCCGACATTAGTCAAAATATGTCGTCCCTTCGTGTTTTCGCATTTTGAGGCGAAGACGCGAAAATATACGGATGGCGTAAATCAGCCACCATACAAAATCCATTCAAGGCGAATTTCTCAAGCATGTCGAAAGGATGTCCAGAAATGTGTTAATATAAAACGCTGATATTTCGTGTGTTGATAAAAATACTGTTTATATTCTATATGGTTTTGAAAAAAAAATGTTTCTATGTAACTTTTCACGGAAATGGGCTGTACAATGATCGCGTAAAAACAATAAAATGTCGGCTGTAGAAATCGACGTTACTTTTGCCCATGCTACCGAAAACTACCCATCACAATATCACGGCGTTGATACGCCGTGAAATAAAAAGAAAAAAAAATTCTATAAAAACAAGATTTATTTTCATCTTATTGCATGAATATTATCATATTTCATGAAACATTTATTTTCATACTACTCAATAAAAATAGATCCTGTATATAAAGAATTAATGAATAGCCTCTATTTCCTAATTGTGAAAAATAGCCTTCTCGTGATTCTTCTGAAATTAACCAGATTATATAATAGTTCAACTCACTCAGTGCTACTCCATGAAACATGAATTTGTCACCACCCTCATTTTCCAGCTTAGCTATTGCTAGCTTTTCGTAACTAGTAACTTCGTCTGCGTAGATGCCACTTATAGATCTGTACGTCATAGTCTCGCATTCAATGCTTTTACCATCATGCGGGTAACACTGGATGACATACCACAGTGCGTAATCCTGGTAAACATCTTGTATATGTTGAGTCCTCCCAGACCAACTGCTTGGTATATATGTCAATTTATGCTCAGCTGTTACTGTTAACCAACCAGGGGCGACAAATCCAACCAGCAACAGAAGGACACCTACAAAGTTCGACCATAATAATATATTAACTCTTCGAACAGAGGGCAATGCTCCAGCCTGATTAACCTTCGGGGTGAACTTTACATCGTCTGCTGCTGGCACCTCTTGATTTTCGTTTGTTACCATCTCGTGAGTTTCTTCGGGATTTTGCTCTGCTGTTAAAGGTGGATATACTGATTTATCGGCAGTCCCCTTGTCCTCCATTTTACAATTCTGAAAACGAAGAAATAATCCGTTTAACAAATTATTAAACCCCCCACGAAAAAACTGACCCCGACAAAGAAAAAAGAACGCTTTTTAATAATACTGAATGCATTTACATGAAGTATGGTATTCTTCTTTATCTTCTTTTCTTTTAGACATTTTCATGCGCTTATATTTGATTGGAAATAAAGATCTACTCTTTCGTGTATGGTAGCAGAAATAGGTACAAATGGAATGAAAGAAGAAGAAAAAACTATAAAGATTTCTATCTTAAATATAACAAGTTACTGCATTCATTAGGTAATTACATTACAAGAGTTATTGCGTGCAGTCAGTTCTGCTACATAAGCCCAAGGCATTTTTTCACCGACTATGAACTACAATTATAACAAATGCAGTGTGTTTTAGATTGCTGTTAGGTTTGCATGTAATAAACCAGTTTATAATCATATAATAATAACCCACAGTTTTATAATTTATCTCTTAAGAGAACAAACATAATGCGTCCGATTACCAATTAACAAGATTTGGCAATTCTATCCGTACACCGCCAGCTAATCAAAATTGAGAATTTAATACCACATGCTAACAAAATGGACAAAAGACATCAAAAGGGGGACCCTACGGGGCACACCTTCTGCCGTATTTTGTCTATATCCTATGCTTATAAAATTGAAATCGGAATTCGAAACTATTGTGTAGGCTCCTACGAGGTAAACAATATAATTATGGTTTCCTTTAAGAGAAGAAACTGCTCTTTTTTCAGGAAGGATTCTATTTCACAAAAAATATACATGTAAATATTTTTCGAATACCCGACTGAACGGCGATTGCATTTTTGAAATGCGAATACCTGTACATGTATAGCTATATATCCTATATAATAAGTAATAGATGCTTATGGTATAATACGTTAAGAAATTATGACTAACCAGCAATCTGACAAAAGTACATACCTTCTGAGGCGTTAAATAGGAAATTATTTTAATTAGAATGACTAGACAGCTTATGCTATTTTCAATAATGAGTTTGCTTGAATCAGTGCCAAACGTACTTTATTTTACGAATAACATATTACATGTTTATGCCAGAGCGTTTGTCATTTGCTTTCTAGATAGCTCTATGATGCCTGTTTTAACTGCAAAAAATTCTTACCTGTATAGCCCAGTCTTTTGAAAACAATAACAACAACAACAACAACAGCTACTAACAACCTGCACTATTTACGCTACGAATGCAATTTAAAACAAGTAGGCCGACACTAATTATCCATTACAAATGGCGTTGACTGTGCTACGGTTTGTAATCCAGTCTTGAAAGTGAGCGGATAAAAACCAATACAGACTGAGCTAGATACATGTTCCGATCAGCATAGATATTTGTTAAGCAGCGAATTTACATCGAAGAGAATTCACTGGCAATTCACTTAAAAATAAGTGGTTATACTCTGCTCGCACGAAATAATGATAATGTGGTGCCCAGTTAATGTATATGATGTTGTAATATAGTTTGTATTATTATGGTATAAAACAAAACACAATTAAGTACACTTGCTTAAGATTAGTTCATTATTAATAGCTATAATAGATATGAAAATAAAAACTCAATTTGGTGAACCTGAAAATGTACCTTTTTATTTATAACAAGGATTTTTCTAAAAATAGATTCACTGATAACAACAGTTGCTGGTGGGACAAACTTTTTGTCAAAAGTTTAAAGTTTAGATAAATTTTACAGTATATCTAATAAATATATGAAATTTTAATTCCAGATATACAGTTAAAGGGGAGGGGTAGGCCTATTAATGAGATATCAATATGTGTGACTTAAAAGAGAATTTTATTTATTTATTCATTTATCTATTTATTTATTTATTTATTGAAAACTGTCAATAAAAGAACTCATATACATTTCGCTTTGGTTAGTTTTAGGAAATCTTTCTTGCTATAAAAGATAGTACTAAAACTCACAATACCCAATAATAATTCTTGTACAGGATTTTTTTCAGCAATAAAATATCTAATGTTAAAGATAAATGCATGTCCGTCACAGATCATTGAATATAACTTTGAAACCTGTTTCGCATTTAATTGTAATTTTTAAGCATTTGATTTTGATCATTCATGGTTATTTTGTACCAGTATTAAAAATTCTGATTCAGAGGATATTTGTTAAAACGCTTGTTAAAATTTACACTTTTACTAAGACAATTAAACATTACATGGATTTAAAATCAAATTTTTGATAAGGAAGAATTAATAATACTTTGATTTAAAATTTTGATCCAGAAGATTATCATGCTTTGAGTTAAATAAAAATTTGACGAAATTGTATCATATGCATATAGTCGAAATACCTTAGTGTTAAATATTTTGTTTAGAAAGTTTAATATTTTATATTGAAGTATTGATAATACATCACTATACTTTTTATTGAGAGGATTAATTATCTTCTTAGATTTAAAAGTTGTTTTTATTTTAATAATACTTGGATTTAAATTTATTTAAGTTCTGATCTCATTTTGGCCCTTATAAACAAATTCTGGATTTATTTCTTTTGATACAGAAAATTCATTAATACTAATGCCATGATAGAATTGTAATTCTTTAGTCAAATTTTGCATTTTTTAGATTGGGGATATTATAATATTTCATTTTTCGTTTTTTAAGCAACCCTAACTTAAAATTTATCCCCCTTTGCATGACAATACCTTTCTCTAAACAAAATAGATAAATGACACGAAAAGTTATTTTTTCTTTTGATAAACATTGAAAGTATGATACTACAAATGTATAAAAAGCTCACTTTTCCTAATACTTTTAAATTCAAAATAAATTCTAACATCTGTATTGAAGACATATCTTATGGTCAAAAAGACAATGATCTGTTGGTATTTTCTAGATCAAGATTTAGCTTTTGTTTGTTTGTTTGTGTTATTTTACGCCTTTCCCAACAGTATTTCAGTCATATAGGCGGGTAATTTCCTAACCATCGTTCCTGGAGAGTTACACCAGTACTAGACTACCTTCTAGTCTAGTAAAAATAAAATATGACCCAGAACTAACTGCAAAAGTTTTGAATCTTTGTTCATTGAATAGGTCTGGTATATGTATTTGTCAGAAAAAAAGTTGCACATATAACTCTGTGCACAACTTTTTTTACAAACGTTCAAAGTTCATGAATTTTAACTTTATATTTTAAGACCTGAACTGTACACCATACACGCGGTTTTTTCCTATGACGTAACAATTTTACGTAGGCACGCGCGTCATTGAAAACTTGTCATATGATTTCGTGAAACTTCCGTCGAAACATAAATATAATTTTTCATCAAAAATAGCATTTAGATGGCAAAGGTAAGTTTGTTTTTAATTTACTTTTATCATTTATGCCTTTTTACTTTCACAATAAGTGCCATAGTTAAATATAACAACGATTTTATGTTAAATATTTTTGGAAATAAACAGCAAATCAATATCACCAGTAAATGTTAGGTAAAGGGAAAAAGGGATCGAGTAAGCGTACACTTTGCATATTTAGCCCCGCCTATAAATAAAGCACGAATTTCTTATAAAGCGTTATCATCATGATTAAAATAGACTATAAATCTGTGGAAATGATCAGTGTTACTGTATGTAAGTGCATATGCTTAATCCCCCTAATAAATATACACGAATGTCTTATAAAAATAGAAAAAGGCTTTAAAGTGTTAAGTCGTGCAATAATGGTGCTTTCATTCATATGCCAAATGATTTAATCAGCATATGAACCTATGTGAGGATATCAAGTTAGATGACTAAAGGATCATCTGAATATACATACAATGTATAGCTTTGTTCATATGAAAAAATATATTAGAAATCACATTATAAGAGGACCAAGTTTTATACTATATAGTTTTTCATTGAACAGATACAACGCGATCACGTAAGATGACCATGTACATATACTATACTTTTCATTGAACAGATATCAGCGGGTCACGTACTTGATGACCAGGGGATCATCTACTTGTACACATAAAATAATTTTCATTGAACTGATATCATTGGATCACGTAGGTGACAAGGCGATCATCTAGATATACACGTCCTCTTTCTTATTATGGAAGGGATATAAGGGGATAACGTAAGATGACCAGGGGATCATCTAATTTTACATATGCTATAGTTTTTATTGATCAGAAATAAGGGGATCACGTAAGATGACCAGGGGATCGTCTAGATGTGCATACAGAATAAGATTCATTGAACAGATATCAGGGGATCACGTAAGATGACCAGGGGATCATTTAGATGTACATATACTATAGTATTCATTGAGCAGATATAAGGGGATCACATTAGATGACCAGGGGATCATCTACATGTACATATACTCTTTCTAATTATGGAACGGATATATGGAGATCACGAAAGATGACAAGGGGATCACCCATATCTACATTTACTATAGTATCCATTGAATAGAAATAAAGGGATCACGTAAAATGACAAAGGGATCGTCTATATGTACATATACTATAGCATTCATTGAACAGAAATAAAGTGATCACATGAGATGAGCAGGGGATCATCTACATGTACATTTATTCTTTCTTATTATGGAACAGATATATGGGTATCATGTAAGCAGACAAGGGGATCATCTAGATGTGCACATACTATAATATTCATTGAACAGAAATAAAGGGATACCGATCACGTTAGATGACAAGGGTATCATCTACATGTAAATTTATTCTTTCTTATTACGGAACAGATATATGGGTATCATGCAAGCTGACCAGGGGATCATCTATATGTACACATACTTTAGTATTCATTGAACAGATATAAGGAGATAACGTAATATAACAAGTGGGTCATCTAGATTTACATAAACTATAGTTTTCATTGAACAGATATCAGGTGATCACGTAAGTTGACCAGGGAATCATCTTAATGTACATATACCGTACTTTTCATTGAACAGATATAAGGGGATCACGTAAGATGACCAGTGGGCCATCTATATGTACATATACTATATTTTGCAATGAACAGATAGAAGTGGATCATGTAAGATGACCAGGGCTTCATCTAATTTTACATATGCTATAGTTTTTATTGAACAGAAATAATTAAGGGGATCACGTAAGATGACCAGGGGATCGTCTAAATGTGCATATAGTATAAGATTCATTGAACAGATATCAGGGGATCACGTAAGATGACCAGGGGATTATCTACATGTATCTACTCTTTCTAATGATGGAAAGGATATATGGAGATCACGAAAGAAGACAAGGGGATCAACTTTATTTACATTTACTATAGTATCCATTGAACAGAAATAAAGGGGTCACGAAAATGAGCAGGGAATCATCTATAGGTACATTTATTCTTTCTTATTATGGAACACATATATGGTTATCATGTAAGCTGTCAAGGGGATCACCTAAATGTACATGAACTCTTTCTTATTATGGAAGGGATATAAGGGGATAACGTAGATGACCAGGGGATCATCTAATTTTACATATGCTATAGTTTCATTGAATAGAAATAAGGGGATCTTGTAAGATGACAAGGGGATCATCTAGATGTGCATATACTGTAGGAATCATTGAACAGATATAAGGGGATCACATAAGATGACCAGGGGATCATCTACATGTACATATAGTCTTTCTTATTATGGAACGGATATATGGAGATCACGAAAGATGACAACGGGTTCAACTATATCAAAATTTACTATAGTATCCATTGAACAGAAATAAAGGGATCACGTTAGATGACCAGGGGGTCATTTAGATGTACTTATATGCTTTCATATTTTGGAGCAGATAAATGGGGATAATTTTAGCTGACCAGAACTGAAATAAGGGGATCACGTAAGATGACCAGGGGATCGTCTATATGTGCATATAGTATAAGATTCATTGAACAGATATCAGGGGATCACGTAAGATGACCAGGGGATTATCTACATGTATCTACTCTTTCTAATGATGGAAAGGATATATGGAGATCACGAAAGATGACAAGGGGATCAACTATATTTACATTTACTATAGTATCCATTGAACAGAAATAATTAAAGGGGTCACGAAAATGAGCAGGGGATCATCTACATGTACATTTATTCTTTCTTATTATGGAACACATATATGGTTATCATGTAAGCTGTCAAGGGGATCATCTAAATGTACATGAACTCTTTCTTATTATGGAAGGGATATAAGGGGATAACGTAAGATGACCAGGGGATCATCTAGATGTGCATACAGTATAATATTCATTGAACAGATATCAGGG